GTGTCAGTTCGTCTGCATGCGTCGGGGTAATTCTTTCTATTCTTTCTCCGTCAAAATAAACGGCCAAATACGGGTACTGTCCGGTCAACACAAGCCCTGCTTTTAACTGTTTTGTTTTCTTGTGAAAATAGATCAAATTAAACTTGATGACCACCAGAGCCAGGCGCACTGCGCCGTTATCTCCGTCGCTGTAAATGAGGGAAAAACAAAATGATCGGATCCTTTTCTGACCTTCCCCACCTACAAAGTTTAATTACAACAATCAAACGTGACAGAGCCTGGGTTTGTATTCTGAACAGTCTAAACATGTTTTAAAAAGAAACATGACAAAAGTGGCACCTGCTCAGTAAAACCACCAACAGGGTGAAAAATATCAAAATATTGTAGGCAGAGACGGGCTACAACTTGTGGATCCACTTTATATAAATCGTTTTATTGATTATCTTCTTATGAAAGATAGCTTTGACGTACACGAGCGACCGGTACCGGCTGCTGTCACCTGTTGTGAGCAGCGCTTTGCTGTCTGAGGGTAGGCCCCGCCCACAACGCCGCGGCTGCTGCGGTGTTTTCTTTACTGTGGGAAAAACGGGTAATAATGGCTCTGATGGGAACAGGTTGCCGACCCCTGGATTAGCGTGACGTCTGATATATATATATATATATATATATATATATATATACACACATATATATAGATATATATATATATATACACACACACACATATATATATATATATATATATATATATATATATATATATATATATATATATATATATATATATATATATATATATGCCCTGATGTGGGGCTGGGGGGTGCGTCAACATGGTCGGGACATAGAAGGGGGTGCGCGGCTAAATAAGTTTGGGAACCACTGCTCTATATGATTATTTTATTGCTCTTTTTTTCTTATTTTGCACCAAGTAACTGCAGTAATTCTTGAAAGTTGCTAACCTGTTCACACACATGGCCGTTAAACCCTTCTGATTCAGATTTAACCCTCTGAATAAGAAGTGAATATGTTAATGAAAAACGACAACAGTTCACATTATACTTTACTGTCAAACCTTAGAACGGCCTAGGTTTGCAATCAAATAGATGTTCATGTACCTGTGTTATAGGCAAATTTGGACAAATGAATTTGCTTATTGCCAGTAACCTTTTCAGTGGTCTAGTGGTAGTGTCCGCCCTGGGACTGGGATCGGGTTCAAATCATATCAAAGACTTTAAAAAGGGGACCCAATGCCTCCCTGCTTCACACTTGGCTTTAAGGGGTTGAATTGGGGAGTTAAACCACCAAATGGTTCCCGAGCGCGACCACTGCTGCAGCTCACAGCTCCCCACGGCGAGGGGTCAAATGCGGAGATTTAATGTCACCAGTGTGTGACGATGACTGTGCGACTTCAACTTTGTCCCAGACCTTTGACCTCCTCAAGAAATGAGTTCAGGAACCTTTGAACTCACGTCAAAAACTTTTGTTATTAGCAAGCACAAGTGTCAGTGTGAGCTTTTAGCTGTAGCACCAGATTTGGCACTGTGCAAAAGTTTTAGGTGGGTGTGAAAAGGGCTGTAAACAAAACATGCTTTCAGAAATTTAAATAATGTTTGTTTATTTTTATCAATGTACAAAATGCATCCAGCCAAAGCCATTAAGAACTGTCTTCAGTGTAAAGAACAAGAAGTCCTGGGAGTGATGGAACAACCATACTTGTTCCTTCTAAATCTCTTTGCAAGTGTTTGATTTAGATTTCTCTTTTTTTTCTCGTTCATTGCATTATGTTGATTATTGAAGATAAATGAATAAAACTTCTCTTTTTGAAAGTGTTCTTTGCCCACAACATTTTTCTACACCTGCCTAAAACTTTTGCACACTGTATCTCACAATATTTTTTATATTTCTGCTGGACAAACTGTCGATGTGACACTTGTAAAGGATGAGTAGTTTACATCTTACTTATGAACCATAAAATGTGAGATTCCATAGAAATATGAAATGTCAATCTGATGGATCCTTGAATATTTTAACCAGAAGATCAGAACTTTTTATTGCAGGGATTACTTGGCACTTCGTATTAACTCCAAGGAAAGAAAGAGAGTCAGGTTTATAATAGTTAAGAAATTTATTTCTACACATTTTAAACAAGACTAACTTTAAACACTCGGTGGACTGATGGAACTAAGGTGGAGTGAGACGTGAGATGATGGTGTATGTGTGGAATGTTGCTATCAGAACCAGCGGATCCGGAGAAGCATTTAGTTCTGAGTGGGAGTGAATGTTTCACCCTAAACTTTAGTAGGAGATTCATAACACACTTGAGACAACATCTGTCAGTCTACGTACCCAGGGGAAGCCTCCGTTTAGATCCAGAATGTCGAGGTCCTCTTGGACCCTCCTTGGAACCGAAGCCAGTAGAAAAACAGCGGTGCCAACCAAACTAGTCTTGGAATGCTTCCAGGTCACGACAGGTTATCATTGCCATCAGCGAGACCCTGAAGGGGTCGTGAGGTTCAGCTTTTATTCTGAAGGAACCGTCGCGGTCAGGTGTAACTTGCAACAGATTTTATCCAGCTTGTCGAGGTTCTTTTGGCTGAAGAGGAAGTCCAGATGGCCGGTCCGAGACTTCTCTAGAACGCTTTGAACTAAAGAAAAGGTGGCGTGGAATTGTTTTTATAATTGTCATATTTTGGTTTACTGGCGAATCAGAATTTGACATGCAAAAGAGGGCTTATACAAACACCACAGAAACCCACGCCTAGCGCCAGAAACGAAGGTTCTGATTGGATCAGACAAAAGAAAATGTGTTGTGTGACTTTAGCATTACTCTGTGTCATCAGTATCTAGTACAAATGTCCGGGATTATAATTACTTGTAAAATATTACTGATCACAGGATTATAATATCAAGTAATAACATTGTCATTTCACAGATTGATTGAACATTGGGCTCATATTATTATTGGTAATAACAAAGTTGTTTGATTATGTGTTTTATCAAGAGAGTTCTTTGTCTTTGTCTTGAGCTGTAAAGAGGTGAAGCAGTTCAGATGAGCAGAGGGCATGAAAGACCTTGGCCAATATCTCATGTAGATTAGGCCTGTGTCAGAGACTTTGTCTCTGCTCGAGCAGACGCAACAGACCTTTAGGTCAAAAACAGGACATTCATGACACTACAAACTGAATATGGTCCTGATGTGTATAAAATTTGCATAAAGTTCTTTGAACATTTTAAGATTAGTGCTCTTTTAACACATTAGAAAACCACTTTGTGCTAACTAGCCATTAGCTGATCAATCTGGTCAGAACTCAAGCCTGTTTCAGACGTATAGGTGATCATAACCATCACTTAAAACACTTCCTCGAAACGTTGGAGCTGTTGGGTTTTAGGTAGGGATGGGTACCTTTGACATTTGAATCGATCCGGTACTAATTCCCGGTACCTACGAATCTATACCGGTACTTAACGGTACCAATTTTTGATACTTTTGAGTGTTTATTATTTTAATTCTCTTTTATAATTAAATATATATTTTTCTCAATATATAACAATATTTGATATATATCACGATAAATAACATTCAACTGTTTGTATTTTAACATCGTCCTTGTAGTTTTATAAGCTGATAATTAAACTGAAGCAAACATCTTTACTGTGAACTAAATTTACTGTGTATCTTCATTCCTTTTACCGTCCTTTTTCATTAGATTTTTCCTACTGGGAAGTTAGAATTTCCGAGGAGAAAGCGAACGCACCATTAGCTGATAACAACGGTAGCAATGGAAGCTAACATACCAAACTAACGTTATCTTAAACAGTTTATTTAACTGCTGGAGCAGATTAAAATGATGATGCCTCACACTTAGATCGTTGTCACTGGTTTCATCTTCACCCGTCACATTTAGTAAAGTGAAGCCAAACTTTAGAGCGCGTTCATGTTCTTCTAGTCTGGAATTCGGAGTTCCAAGGAGAAAGCGAACGCACCATTAGCGAAATGGAAGCTAACATATCAAGCTAATTATATTTACCTACCGGAGCAGATTAAGATGAGGATGCCTCACTTAGATCGTTGTCACTGGTTTCATCATCACCCAGTTACCCATCACATTTAGTGAAGTGGACCCAAGCGTTAGCGTTCGTTCTTTCTACCATGCTGCTCTGTTTACAACTCGCTCGCAGCGAGCGACGACATCACGCTCTTGCGCATGCGCAGCTGTCTTGGCAAGTTCTCGTTATGATGGACGGGTACCGAAACGAGGCACCGTTTGAAATGACATGAATTGGTGCTCGGTCGGTACTATGGAATTCGGTCGGTACCTTAAAAAGTACCGAATTCGGTACCCATCCCTAGGAGGTTTTTATTGTTCGGTTCCACAAACCTCTCGAGTTCTACTGTTCATTTTCAGCCTTTTGGTACAACAAGAACCATTTAACGAGTTGTGATGCGTCTAAGTAAGTGGCTGTATGGCAATCTGGTTAAAAGAACTGTGGCGAGCTCCAAACCACATATGTACAGATCCAGGTAGTACACACAGCTCAGCCACTAAATGTGGCCAAACCTGTATTTGGTGGTTGTTTAGTGTTTTTGCAGCAGTTGTTGACTATCAGAAAGGATTGCACACACCCACAAACACTCAGAAGTAAGAAAACAAGCTTATTACAGTATTTTAAGTTGATCTGCAGCACTGCCACCTCAGCGCAGCAGAAAGCTGAACACAAGGTGCCTGCAGGGAGGTGAAGGGGAGTTTGTGAGGCTGCTAACCTTGATCAGAGCTAATAAATCATTTCATTGGATCTACAGAAGTTATACCTGTGACCCTTTTTGTGAGGGCAGCTGGTTCAGGGCGTAATTTGAAAATCCAGGTTTGAGGCTCGACTTTCGCTGTCAGTGCTGATGCAACCTGTTTATTTTAGACTTGTTTAACGGCTGATAATGCAAATTAATTGTGTGTGTGTGTGTGTGTGTGTGTGTGTGTGTGTGTGTCTGTGTGTGCTTTCAGGAGAAAAATAATGAAGAGTTCAGAGGCAAGCAGCAGAAAGAGGTGGCCACATCGAACCTCAAGTCTAAGTAAGTGGTCAGCAACAGACTCGGAGATGCAGCTGTTACTTCAAATATTGCCTGATATGTTTATTTAGTGCATTAAATATAAGCAGGAAGGACAAATTAAGCATGGAAAGTAAATTTTTTTCAGATTCACATTTATTACACCACCAAGATGTCTCCTTTTGGTTCTTCTACTGTACTGTTTTATTACGAACCCCATGAGGTTTGTGTCTCAGCTGATAAAATGGGTGCTGTGTATAATTTTTGTGTTTTTCAGCATTCAGATTTTAAACCCTGAGCATTTTAAAGTAAATTTGCAGCAAATGTTTGCATTTGTACATGAGGGATCTCCCAAAGATGTGCAAGGAAATCAGGAAACTGGAGTTTGAGATTTTAAAACAGAAAATGAGTCATTATTTAAAGGTTAAAAACCAACTTAATGTTGTAAAGGTTTCTGTCTAATGTGCGCATTCATAATCAAGAGAACAGGTTCTAGTAGAACTGATTTCTTGGCCCACCCACTGGGAGCAGATCACATGAAATTTGAGAAGAGACTAGTTCAGGATGCAAGAATGAAAGCTTACTGCAAGTTCAACAAGTTCCTTTTAACACGGAGATGTATCCATGTGACTCCTGTGGGTAAATATTATGACGTGGAGAGTTGGTGATCTTCGGTGTCTGGCTGTTGTAACACCAGCCCGGCTCCGTTAGGGGCTGGCGCGTTTTTCTCTGCATGTTGAAGAATTATTCAGCTTTTTAGGAGAAGTAAAAGTCAGTAATAAAAAAAAAATCAACTGCATCCTTCTAAACTAATCATCTCTTCCACTGAAGAGAGAAGAGAACTCATTACTGTGTGTGTGTGTGTGTGTGTGTGTATGCGTGTGTGTGTGTGTGTGTGTGTGGGGGGGGGGGGGTGCAATGGAAAAATCTCATGATGTATTTGTTGCCTCCCTTCTCATCTCCAACTTCCTGTCTCCTACTTTTCCATCTGCGTCTCCCTCAGTATTCACACGTCAGAGAGCCAGCAGGAATTCTTCAGGATGCTGGATGAGAAGATTGAGAAGGTGAGGGGAGGGGGGGATTGTGAGTGTGTTTGTGTTCGCATGCACACTGTGGGGGGGTGTCGGTCGTACCTTGCTAATGAGCTCATGGTGATAAAACTATGTTCACCAGTTAAACACAAGTAACTTAAATTGTTATCACCACCCTGATCGTAAAACTTCATTATGTGTGGATCATAGTTTGTATTGTTTGCTGTGAAAAAGCGTATTGGTGGACTCAGCTGTTCTCTTCAGCTCCACAGAGTGCATTAAAAAGGTTTTATTGCACATCGGAGACTTTCCTTTTCATTTCATTCCTTTAAAAGAGGACTACATTGCATGGTGATGGTTTGTGTGTATGTAAGGGTTAGGTTCAGTAAGTTCTGCAGAGCTGCAAAGCCAGGCTCGAGAGAATTAAGACTCGTATCACACAGTAGTCAGACATAACACCAGTAAAGGTTCTGCCCAGATGTCAAGGACAAGCTGTGAAAACTTCCAAACCAGGACAGGAATAAGAAAGGAAAAGAATGATGTCATTTTGTTTCTCGCAACCCTGTGAGCAAGAACAAACACGGAGTGTCATTCTTTATTTTTCCAGGAAAACTTCTGGTTCTGAACTGCCTGAAATCCCCACAGTCCTGAACTTTAATTAGTTTTTTGTTGATGGCTCTACTGTGACTCCAAGCAAATCCTGTCTGATTGTCTTTGGTTTGATGCAAGAACAAAACCAAGACTGCAGATCTTAGGATCTGATATTTCCAAAGCACCAATGTTTGGTTCTGCCCCTCGAACGCCACAGTCCTGCATGTTTTAGTTGTTTCTCCACTCAAACTTAACCTGTTTCCACAAATTGCCTCTTCTAGTTATGTCTGTGTAACACTCATCAGGTTCACTCAAGTAGGGAAAGTGTCTCTCTAGGATCGGGGTTGGACTCTACTGTCCCAGGGGTTGTCTGTGCATCTAAAGGAGAAGTGGCGAGCTTTGGTCTGGTTCGCTCTCAGTTCATGCACACAGAACTGATTTTGGGGATGAAATTAACTATATAACTATAGACACATTACTTGTCTGTGTGTGTGTGTGTGTGTGTGTGTGTGTGTGTGTGTGTGTGTGTGTGTGTGTGTGTGTGTGTGTGTGTGTGTGTGTGTGTGTGTGTGTGTGTGCGTCTGCCTGCCTGCCTGCCTGTCTGCCTGCTCTGTCTTCTCGATCCCCAGTGAGTCGTGGAGGATGGCTGCTTATACTGAACCAGGATTCTCTGGAGGTTTCTTCCTGTTAAAAGGGAGTTTTCCTCTCCACTGTCGCTGCATGCTTGCTTAGTATGAGGATTGCTGTATAGTCACTGACACTAGTCAGTGACTTGATGCAATTTGCTGGGTTCCTTATATAGGAAACATTATTTCTGATTGGCTTAATGAACTGTGAATTGGAATGTTTATTATGTGAAGTGCCTTGAGACGACTCTTGTCGTGATTTGGCGCTATATAAATAAACTTGAATTGAATTGAATTGAAGTGAGGCCTGTGTTCTGTTCTCTGAAAAGCCAACAGCTGGTATCCTCATGAGTGTCACTGTTTGTAGGTTGAATGCTGATTGGTTGAAGGCTTAAGCTAGAAGGATGCTCACACTCTTCTCACTGACAAATAATTAAAGAACACATTTATACAAAACTTAGTTTGACTTAACAGTCATTCACATTTTGGCCACTTGGCTTTAACATAGAAAACTTACTGCACCCCCTTGTGGCAGCACTCTTCTCCAGGTTTACAAAGATGTGCAAAACACCTGAACAGATGGGACACAGGATCATGTTCACCCCATCATGACCATAATAATACTGTTTTTAGGTCTGCTGCATGGGAGTGTAAATCCTTATAACAGGTGCTGATTGGGCACTTGTACGATACATTTTTTAAAGGGAGGTTTGACTGATTTCTAAACTGAATTTGACATATTTGTGTCCTTGAGACTCTGGTAGTTCGAAGCTCCCCCAAAACAAGCGTGTGTGTTTTTTACGGTCTGACTGCTGTTCCTCCTCAGTTTAGTTTTTGGTTCCACCGTGGCGTGCCCTTTGGTGTTGTGGGAAGTGACATGTAAATGTCCAGTTTGCTCATTTTAAATGGCAATTAAGTCATGTGTGCTGAACCTGTGTGGAGGAGAGACAGAGTGGCGTCGTAGAGGCTGTCTGAATGGCTTTGAGAAGAAGAAGCAGAACGGTCAGCTCATCTTCAGCAAGGAAACAAAACAACGGACCAACCACCTGTCAGCACTTTACTATCTCAGTCAGCATCTCCTGCTCCTGCAGATTTATTTACTTGAATGTGACTGGAGTCACAGGTGTGTGTGTGTGTATGTGTGTGTGTGTGATAAAGATGGGGTGTAATTGGGGGAAAAAATAAACACTTCCTGTTTCATCCGTCTCTCAACATCTTTTTATTTTTTTGCAGGGACGTGACTACTGTTCAGAGGAGGAAGAGGAAGATGGGACATAGCACATAGGCTCCCAAAAGTCGTCATTACTTTGTGTGTGTGTGTGTGTGTGTGTGTGTGTGTGTGTTAATGAGTGTGGCTGAATGAGAACGTGAGTTTAATCAGTGTTTTACCGATCTAGGCGTTGTTTTGACGGGACACTGTCGGTGTGAGTGAGTTTATATGAACGTCTGGCTAAAATAGTACTTTTAAGCGCAAGAAAGAGAGAGAAAACTTTCTTCCGAGACTACCGCCCTCCCTGTCGCCTCAGCCCTTCAGGCCTCTCTGCAGACATACGGAGGTGGTGAAGCGATGAACGGACTGACAGATGAAAGGAGGGAGAGATGGAGGAGAGACGACAAATGCACACACACTTGTTTTGTGGACAGAGTGAAGGACCTGTCACCGCCGGGTGGGACGCCTCCATCCCTCCTTTCTTGTCTATCTGTCTCAGTGGCCTGATGCTGAGTGTGTAAACTGCTGTTGGACAATGGATTTAAACGTGGAGGCCAAGTGGAGATGAGCAGCTTAGTAGATGTGTCGAGGACTAAAAACACATTTCAAGAAAAGAGTCATGGACCTTTGCTGAGATTCTCAGTGAACTTTGTCGCTGAACTACCTGCAGTCTGACAACTAAGGACCTTGGAGGGTGAGAGAGGGGAGGAGGGGGAATGTGGGATATTTTAATAAGAGAGAGCATAGGGAGTGAGCTGGTAATTTAGAAACTCTAAAACTCCTCCTGCCTTCTGAAGTCAAGAACCTTATTTTAATTATTATTGTTGTGCCACAGCCACTCATTCCATTTTATTTTCTAATTTTTAATGTTATTTTTTCCCAGCTTTTATTCTTGACTTCCATCGTTGTGCATCGTGAACAAAGTCGTTATGATTCTCATCATCACCGTGAGCAACCTGAGACTCTAAAATGTATACCGTCTGTGTCTCCGCTCAAACCATTCTCCTTTATGAGGTCCTTCCCACACACACACACACACACACACACACATTCATTTATGTTTAATTTTCTTTGAAAAACACATCACACACTCCCTTGCATAACACACGCACATTCCTGTTTGTTCCACCTGCAGCAACCAGAAGTATTCCATAAAGCTCCATTTCTGCTTTCAGTAAGTGCTCTCAAACACACACAGGTTAACGCAACAAGCCGAGATTACCTCAAAGGCAAGTTGTGTGGTTGCCGTGGAGACACAGATAGGTAACTTTTAGTTATCATTACTTGATATGTCCTGTTGTATTATTTTTAAATACTTTTTTCTATTAAAATAAAAAATCCCTCTGATTGCCATTATGTGTGTGTGCGTGCGTAAGTGCATGCATGAGTGTGCGCGTGTCAGAGTAAAAGCACTGTCAAGCAGTGTGTTGTCAGTTTTCTTCTGGCCTGCTGCCTCCAACCAGTCTGTGATATTTCAGACCTGCAAAGCCATGCACTGCCCCCTGCTGGTGAAACGGTGATTTTGCATTTCACTCGATGCAAAATCCTTATAGGGAAACTGATGTGTACAGCATCCTTCAATGACCTTTATGTAATATGAATAGATGTGTTAAGACGACCTTAAACAGGGGTTCCTATAACGTTTATGCTGCAAAAATGCAAACTAACATTTAAATATAAAGTTAGTAAAAGTCAAACTTCATGAAAACACCAGATCTATTCCAGTTTAACATGTTCCTTAAGAAAATAACCTGGTTTAGTTGATTTCCAGTGACTGAAAAACACATTTGGTCTAAACGCAACACAGCATTCAGATCATTTTACTATGAGTTTTTATTTTGATGAATCCTTTTTGCTCCTGTTTAGATATATTATGTCATCATATCAAGGTGGGCTTTTTTAGACTAAAAACATTAACATTTTCCATAAAATTATAAATTAATGAGGAAAATCCAAATTATCACATAAATTAGAAAATTGTGTCCCATTAGAAGTTCCTTGTGCTCAGTGCAGGTTATTTTAACCTAACTTAACCTGAAAAACAAAATCATCCCCAAACACCAAATTTTTTGATTGAAATTGTTTACAGTTTTAAGTTTATTAAATAAACACAAGTAATGTTTATTCTGTCTAATCTCGTCAACTTGGCTTCTTTTGTCATAACTAGCTATATGATGCAATGAATGTTTTTGACTAATAACTGATTCTTCATGACCTCATGTACACCCTGAAGGACCCCATAATGCTCTGAGTGAGTAAAATAGCCTATCTGTGCCTGAGTGTTTCTCTAATAGCTGCACCCTGCTGTCTTTGTGACAATAAATGCACACAGACCGTTTCTTAACCTCCCGTGACTCACAGGCAGGGCATGTGAGGTTATAGTCAGCAGCAATGTGTAAATCAACAGTGTGAAAGAGTCCCCGTGTGCCTGAAATGGTCTCTCCAACACAGAAATAAAATCTGGAGAGGAGGTGCAGAAGCGAGAAGTGAAGACGAGGCACTTGGGAGAGTGAGCAATAGAAGGATGTTGCCCGTTAACATCAGACAGGAATATGGGCACGAAAATGTTCTTTCCACCCTGACGCAAGTACCAATAAAACGCTCTCTCCTCTCCGCTTTGTGTGTGTGTGTGTGTGTGTGTGTGCGTGTGTGTGTGCGTGTGTGTGTGTGTGTGTGAGTGAAGGGGCTGAAAGTGTGAAAGGCTTTATGGAGGTACAACATGTTCTCGGCTTCTATTTGATTTAAGGCTTAAGTCCAAGAAATATTTGAGTCACAACAACATTCATAACTAAATAATATTAGTTTTAATTGATGCTACCGTCCTGGGTGCTTCAGGATAAAGGTGCTGTCCACCGTGTGTTTATGGAAAATGACTTCAGTGACATATTTCTTTATTCACTCCCTTCTAAGCAGGGCAAATCACTTACTGCTTGTTTAGTAATTAAAGTATTTTAAGTGAAAAACCTCAAATAAACCTAAAATGAAGGAAATGCAAAATAAAAAATGTGAATAAGAATGATCTAGAGCAGGTACTGGACCTGCCTTTGTTGTATGCTGAATACATTTTTGTTACAAACAGCTTTTCTTTCTTGCATTATTAAATTAGTCATCTGTGACATCTGAAGGACAAAATTACATTTTGCAACCCATTTGGCAATTTTTTGACAACTGGTTAAATTAACAAAATATTTACCAGCTGTTTAAAGATCGCTCGTTGAGGAACACCCCTTGTTGCAACGCTAATTATTGCAAGATATTCATATTGTGACATCTGCCCAAATTGATATTCCAGCTTTGTTCAATAAAGGCATCTGATTATGAACCAACTCTCTTTCAGCAGCAGCAGCAGCAGCATGGTCAACTTTTCACAGAGGAAAAAGCAAAAGCAGATTGTTGGATTTCTTTTCCAGTCTAATTCCTGAAGAAAATCATTTTAAACCCTCAATACTAAAGTGAATTATTCTCAGAGGCTTAAATTCTTACAATCATTAAAATGAGATCATTCATGTGATGTTGATTTAAGGAAATGTGTGCAAAAAAAAAACCCTTTATACCATAAGTTCTTAAAGGGTACATATGCAAAACTCAGCTTTTGCATCATGTTGTAAGGGTATATATATATATGTATATATATATATATATATATATTATAATGTATACATACATACACACACACACACACACATTTATAGATATGTATACATTATAATATATATATATATATATATGTATACATATATATGTATATATATATATATAATATGTAAATACATACTTATATGTATATATATGTATAATATGTAAAGACATATCTATATATACATGTATATGTATATATAGACATGTATTTATACATATATATGTAGATACATGTATGTATTTACATATTATATATTTATATACACACACACACACACATATACATATATATATATATATATATATATATATATATATATATATATATAAACTAAAGAAGGTGTTTCATTCCCGTGTTTGTTTTTTCTGTCATTGTTGTGTGATACACACACACACACACACACACACAATTTCTCAAATATTAGTCTAGAAAACGCTTTTCAAATGTGTTGGCAAAATAATAAGCACCACTTTACCAAAGTGGTGAAGCGCTCTGTGTGTGTGTGTGTGTGTGTGTGTGTGTGTGTGTGTGTGTGTGTGTGTGTGTGCGCGCACACGTACATGCTCATGCAGACTTTGCCCACATAGACATTATGAGTCAACGGTGATAGCCAAAGGGATGGCTTCCTGCCTGGATGCCCAGCAGGCCTGTGCTCAGTGTCTTAACTCTCTTCAGCAGTTCCTGGCAGCCTAAACTCCACTCTGACCTACCTCCATCAGACATCTATCAGCCACTTTATTCACTTTCTTCTTTCTTACTCCTGAGAAACTGGAATTTTTTCCTCCATTTGCCATTTAGACCAACGATTCCCATATACCAACAATGCTCTTCCCTCTCTCTCCTCGTTCATTTATATGTAAAACCTCGACACGCAGATCCATCCTTTATTGGATTACGTTGACACACTAACTCACACTAGGGGGAGGCTTTAGTAGAAGGTAGATGCATTTGGATTCATGTTGCTCACCCACAAGGAGTGACCTACTTAGATCCCAGGAAGCTAATTGTTGAGCATGTCTGTGAACAATTAGGAAATCATCTGAATGCATTAATGTCAACATTACAGTCTGAGGGCTCAGCTGAGAAGAACAGATTTTTTAAAACTTCTCTGTGTAAATGGATCAGGTGACCAACACAACGAATAAGACACAAGTCTGGCTGACTTGTAGCTGTGCACTGGTGTTTTGCTGCCAAATGAACAGATCTGAGTGAGACGTCTGAGCACGGAGCAAGATGTCTGACTTGATCCTGGTGTTACAGAGGAGCCAGGAGGTGCTTTACATTTCCAGCTGGCCAATCACAGGGAGCAGGTTTTCTTCTTTAGTGTGGATCAGCATGTTGTGAGGGGAATCTTATAGAATAATGCAAGAGCACCATCTGCTGGTTTGGGCTTTTCTTTCAATGTCCCTGCAGTTCCTCGGAAGCTGCGCATCACAATGTCCTTAACCGCCCTCCTGGCAGTCTGCATGATGAATCAACTCTCTGAAATAGAAGCATTTACTGAACCCTGAAAAGATTCAGGACACCTCGTATCAGATGCAGCAAAGCAGCCTCAAAACAGAACACGGTCTCCTCCATGTTTCACAAAAAGAACCGTGTTCATTTTTTCATCTGTAGACGTAGAGTACTAGTGATTTACCTACAAGCTCCTGCTGTCAGCACCGTGACTACATTTTACTTTTAAATAGTCCGACTGATTCATTACCAGACTTAAGATACCTGTGCTGTCGATTACAGGACACACCTTAGTTTAACTTGTCCCTTTGGTTCAGTGGCAGATTTAGGATTTTTCTGAGTAAGAGGCCACAAGATTTATAGAGGGGTCTAGTCAAACATCCTTAGACAAGATTTCATAGTGGAAATTCCTATTTGGGTCATCTGTGCCACTAGTGTTTGGACTTTGGATAATAAGGCTCTGGATGCTGTAAGGCTGTGATGGCTGACGTGGCTTTGCAATATTGCGTGGACATCGGGGGCAGTTGCACTGGATTGGCAGGCTGGGGTGGTGGTCCCCTTATTTAAGAAGGGGCACACACTCCTAAGAATACCTGGTAAAGCCTATTCAGGGGTTCTGGAGAGGAAGGTCCAATGGATATTTGACCCTCGGATTCAGGAGGAGCAGTGCTGTTTTTGTCCTGGCCGTGGAACGCTAGACCTGCTCTATACCCTTAGGGGGTTTCATGAGAGTGTGTGGGAGTTTTCCCAACCAATCTGTGTGTTTTGTGGATTTGGAGAAAGTGACCGCATCCATCGGAAGGCTTTGTACAGGGTACTTTGGAAATGTGGGGTACCAGGCCCTCTGATACGGTCTGGTAGGCCCCTCTATGACCGGTGTCGGAGCCTGGTCCGCAGTAAGTTGGGCTTGTTTCAGGTGAGAGCTGGACTCTGCTCAGGCTGCCCTTTGTCACCAATTCTGTTCATAACTGTTATGCACAGGATTTCTAGGTGCAGCCAAGTTGTTGAGGGGATCCATTTTGGTGGTCTGAGGATTGAGTCTCTGCTTTTTGCAGATGATGTGGTCCTGTTGGCTTCATCAGAATGTGATCACTGGCTTTCGCTGAAGTGGTTTACAGCAGAGTGTGAAGCAGAAGGGATGAGAATCAGCTCCCCTAAAACCGAGACCATGGTCTTGATTTGGAAAAGGGTAGAATGCCTTCTCCAGGTCAAGCGGAGGAGTTTAGGCATCTCGGGGGTCTTGTTCA